TATATATATATATATAAATGCACTGTTCAAAACAAATTAGGAGAGCAAGCGAAAAAGTGATAAAACCCTTAATTTTGTAACATTGATTCGATTCATTGATTATTTAATTTTATTTCAAAAAGGAAAAACAAGGATTCAACAAGTAAAAATAATAATAGACTGAAAAAGTTGCCTAAGCAGGAAATAATATTTATTTTCAAAGCGAATTACCTTTGAAGAAAAAATTAAATTTTTTACTTGGGCAATTTTTTGAAACACGAACTAATGCAAAGTAGGATAAAAAAAAATTATATGATGAAGCTGTTAAGGGTTATTTTTAAGGATCTTTTTTAATTATTGATTCGCAAAAGAAACATCGCTTCCTCTCGGATGCTGCTGTTTCAAGTTTTTCCTTTTCACCAATTTTTTTCGCCCTTGCCTCAGCTTTCGATGCCAAGCAAGAGATTTTCTCGTGTTGCTTATTGGCTATTCGTCTACAAGTCACTTAGCCGGTTCTTCCATCCTCTAAATACTCAAATAATGTCTCTTAGCCGGTTCTTCCACTGAGTATCTTCGAAATGAATAGATGAAGCAATATAAATTAATGCTATATATTTGAATAAAGCTAAAATAAGAACTTTCCACGAGAAATCTCAATTTTTTTTTTTTAAATGTCACTTAGCCGGTTCTGCCACTAAGCTCTTCAACTGTGGGATAGTTTAGATTTTAAACTTTATTTATTTTATTTTTTTTCTGGTTATTAATTGTTAACTTGTTTTTTATAATTATTAATTCGTATTTTTTTTACATTTTTTGCTATTTTTTGTGATTCCTTGCTAACTTGTTTTTATTTTTTGCTAATTATTATTTTTTAGCTTGCTCTTTTTGTTAGTTATCCTTCGTTAGTTTGTTTTTATAACTATTAATTTCATAGCTTATTTTAATTGTTAGCTTTATTTTCCTTTTGTGAGTTAGTATTTAGCTATCTTTCTTTTGTTAATTATTAATTTTAGTAGTCATTAGATTTTCTACTAATTTTAACATTTTAAGACAAGACAAAGATGTTCACAACGCTGGTGGTTGAGAATTAATGGTTTAGAAAAAAAAGGAAGGCTGACGAGAATTGTGTTTCTTTTTCAGCTTCAACTGAACTGTGTGTTGACATAACAAGTGCGGATGGTGAGTTCGAAATATCTGAGAACAATGTTAAAGTGTGCACCGGACGAGTCTATTCACCCGAAGAGGAGACAACAGCAACTAAGGATTTCAGCGAATGGGAGAAGAAACAAACTTTTCAACTGAATCAGAAAGACATCTACAAAGAATTAAAACTCCGGGGCTACGAATATGGAAAAACTTTCCAAGGGATTACCTGTTCCAATTTACAAAGTATATGGCTTTCGTCTTTTTGAATAAAAACTTATTTACAAAGTAATTATTAAGATTTATTTCTGATGACTGTAGAAATTTTTAACGGTGCAAGAATTATCCGGGACGAATTTTCCATGACACTTAAGTTATGAGTCGGAAGGATTAGTACAGGGATAAATCGTGACAGGCTGTCTGCTATGCTAAAATGTCCCGAACTCATACTTACGGTATTCTAATTATTAATGGTGCAAGAATACCTATATTATCTGTGACGAATTTTTTATGATACTTAAGGTATGGCTCGGAAGGATTAGTACAGGGATAAGTCGTGACAGGCTGTCTGCTATGCTAAAATGTCCCGAACTCATACTTACGGTATTCTAATTATTAATGGTACAACAATACCTATATTATCTGTGACGAATTTTATATGATACTTAAGGTATGGCTCGGAAAGATTAGTACAGGGATAAGTCGAGACAGGCTGTCTGCTATGCTAAAATGTCCCGAACTCATACTTATGGTATTCTAATTATTAATGGTGCAAGAATACCTATATTATCTGTGACGAATTTTATATGATACTTAAGGTATGGCTCGGAAGGATTAGTACAGGGATAAGTCGAGACAGGTTGTCTGCTATGCTAAAATGTCCCGAACTCATACTTATGGTATTCTAATTATTAATGGTGCAAGAATACCTATATTATCTGTGACGTATTTTATATGATACTTAAGGTATGGCTCGGAAGGATTAGTACTGGGATAAGTCGAGACAGGCTGTCTGCTATGCTAAAATGTCCCGAACTCATACTTACGGTGGCTTGCGTGATTAAATGGCTAGTGGACGGATTTTAAATTATAACTATATTTCGCAGACATTTCTTGAAAATAAGTAAAATTGCAGTTCTTCCATGCGGGCAACAGCTAGACGGTGAAAAAAAATTGTTTATGCAGGGTTCCTACGGGTCAACAAAAAAAAAACCCCTGGAATTATCAGGGATTTTTATTGTAACCCAAAAAATCAGGGAATAGTCAGGGAAAGTTGAAATTTTTTAGATGAAACCTAGAAAATTCTTATATCATACCTGGAAAATAACCTGTCTTAGAATTGTCAATAACAGTAATCAGTTATTGAGATTCAATTTACATAATTCTAGCATCTATTACAATTATTTTATAAAATTCCGTCTCTTGGGGAAACTTTTGCATGTTTTCATTTTCATTCATATATGTTTGCTCGCAAAATCTAACATTTGATATTAAAAATAAAATTTAAAAAAATCAAAGTTTTCTGATGAAAAAAACCATGGATTTTCATTAAAATTTACTTGATAATACCTGGAAAAGCCATAGAATTTTTTTTCCTGCAAATGAGTGGGAACCCTGTATATAATTTTAAACTACTTAAACTAGTTAGAATTGGAGGAGGCATCGAAGAATAAGAATATTTAAATACAGTTGTGCTGTGCGCTCGTTCTGGTTAAAGTTAAAGTTTATATATTTATTGCATACGACAATTTTGAAAGAGTGTCCAAGCAACACCTCCTAGAAGAACGAAGGCCTCACCATGGATCAATTTAGTAGTCCGACGTGACGAACATAAACTGCGCAGTGGATGAAAAAGAAGAAAGATGTCACTACGTTTCGGCTACTAAAGGATCAAATTTCTTGTTTATGGTAACCCGTGCTAAGGCTTTCTCTTTTCTAGGAGGTTTTGGTCCGAGGCGGTCGCCAAAAGCTGCTACTTATTAATTTTTTAATTTATTATTTTACGTATAACTGAAGTTGTGTTAGGAAGAGTTATCGACAATATCAACCTTCATCTATGAAAATGTACCCCAATATAAAATCGAGTTAACATGTCTTATATGCTAGAGAACTGGAAGTGTATTTTTGTAGTGGTAGATACACTAAAGTACTCCCCCACCAGAATTTTATCTGTGATAGAATTCGATGAATGAGATACCACTAACTGATTCATTGCTGTTTTGTGAGAAGCCGGGAGAGCGGTAGTAAGATCACCGTACTTTTTGCTAATCGTGAGAGATGTAATAAGATCAGAGCCGTGATTTTTCTTGTGTTGCTATCGGCAGTCGAGTGTATGTAGGCCGACGTTGTGTGCGATCGAGACTGAGTAGCAACAGTGTGATTAGGTGGATAATGTCGCAGTCACAAGTAACAAGTAAACTGTTTAATGTGGACCATCCAATGAAATAGGCTTGTTCAGATCGAAGTAGGCGTTACTGTCAAGATAGGTTTGTTCATATCGAAGTGGGAGTTTCCGTCAAAGAATGTATGTTCACATCACGTCCGGGTCACCAATGTGGGAAGAGTTATCGACAATATCAACCTTCATCTATGAAAAGGTACCCCAACATAGAATCGAGTTAACATGTCTTATATTCTAGTGAACTGGAAGTGAATTATTGTAGTGGTAGATACACTACAGATGTATTTTCTTTTTTTAACACTTACTAACAGAAATGATGTTATTCATAATGAATAATAGTTTATACACGCAAAGCAACGCTTAAAAGGTGGATTTGGCATGGATTTAAATAAGAAATTTCTGTTGATTTGAAAAAAAATGCGAGTTAAACAAATAAAATTGTGGTAATGCTATTAACTTATTTACTTAAAAAAATCAAGAATTTTGAACTGTTACTGTCAATATAAATAATGAGAGCCGCGATGGCTCAGGGGATAGAGCGTTCGCCTTCCAATGAGGTGAACCGGGTTCGAAACCCACTCGTTACGAATTTCGCATCCGGCTTGCACCGACCACAGTGCTGACGTGAAATATCCTCAGTGGTAGACCGATTATGGGTTAGAGTCCCCTTGCCGTCAGACTAACCGTGGGAGGTTCTCGTCGTTTTCCTCTCCATCTAACGCAAATGCTGGTTAGCTCCATCAAAAAGTCGGCAAATGTCTCCCAATAACCGATACAGGAATTCCCTTGTCTTCTGGATTGGGTTCAATATTACAAGGTAGATTACAAGGAACATTAGTAGTCGCAAACCCATAAAATTGGGTCGGCTGCTCAACGACGGTTATAATACAAAATAAAATATAAGTAATCACCGGTTATTATTCATCGCAACCAAGTAAGTCAGTTAAAGTGAATAATCTACTAGAATTAATAACATTTACCGTTTAGTATTAATAACTGCCAATGAAATATGGTCAGTGATATAATTTTCAACGCAATTGTTACTGTTATGATTAATAATCGCTGGTCATTATAGCCCGATTTATTACTTTAGCTATAACATATACATGCATTAACTGTTTGTTTCTTCGCAGGAAGTCGCGGTCTCCTAACATGGACGGGGGATTGGATCGTTTTTCTGGACACCATGATGCAACTCATTGTGCTTGGATCCTACAAACGAGGCCTTTACCTTCCAACACGATTACAGAGTGTGAAAATTAATCCACTGTCTCATGATAAAATGCTCCAGGATTCATTTAGAGATTTGGAAGGTCAAAAATACAAAAATATCACGTGCTTATTCTTTCTAATTCTTTCTCTCCTTATACTCTTTCTTTCTCTGCATACATATATATATA